AAAAAAAAAAAAAAAAAAAAAGGAGGCTTTAGATATAATTTCAAACTATTTACTTACAGAGATGGAATTTTCTGTGCTTGCCAAAATGAATCCCATTCAGTGTGATGCAACAGGTGTTGGAATTCCAGCAGCCGCCTGCAAGCCACATCTGGTAATGGTTAGGAGTTAAAAGGAAGTTCTGTAAGAACTGCTCATGTATAAAAACTATTCATCAGTCAGATCTATGGGCCATATTCACCCACCCGCTTGCACTGCGCATAGTTCGCATTTTTATTTCGTTTACAGAAAACGTAATTCTGCTCCTCATAAAGTCTCAGGAATGTCAGGCACTTGAGAGCATGTGGGGGATTGGTGTTGGCAATGCTGGTGGCAGAAAGGTGAGGGAGGGACAGGGGGTTAGAGAACAAGGTGTGAATACACCTGGATTGGTTCTGACTCGATCTAATTTACATCCTAAATTTAATCACTTGCATGGCCTCATCATTGCTCTGCAGGAGAAGGAATCCTACCCCATCTCCCATCCACCTTGTAAATAAATTGTGTGCAATGTGAAAATCGTCAGACAGGGACTTGTCAAACAGAAAACACCAGTTCTCAAGTACTGCTGCTCTCAGCTGGGAATCCTTTTGCTTCCCCCCCACATTTGCAAAAGTGAAATCAGTAAGATTACTCACAAAAAACAAGGACCATGTCATCAATAATTAGCCCTTGCTAACTGCCCCAGCGTGAGTGGTGTCACTAATTTGTCACTCAGACAATCAGATCCAAAGATATAAAAGGTAACATTTAAAGATTTTAATATGTTTAAATTGTGCACATTAAAGATACTGTACTAAACCTAGGGCTATTAATTATTTCATTTTGTCATCCCGTACATACTAGATTTCAGTGGAAGATGGGTGAAAAAATCCTCAATTTCCAGAATAATTTCTCCCTTTTTCCCAATGGAAAAACATTCATCTCAGCCATTCCATACCACCAGACAAGAACAAGGCCTTAGTTAATTTTTACAGAATTATATTCATGGTAAAAAAGCCACACCTATTCTTTAACTCTTGGTTTTGTTCTCCCTTCGTGTTTCTGTGACAGCCAGAGATAGCAAATGCAGGAACTGATAACTGCAGAACAAGTGTCCCAAGCTTTGCCACACTCCTGCACCTCAGCAGCAGCCAGGAAAATGGATCAACAGAAACCATACCAGTCCAGACAGAGTGGCAGAAACCAGACTGATCCTGCCCCCAGGAATACAAACATCCCTAGAAGAAATGATAAAGAAAGGATAATTAAAGAGCACTTTTAAATTAAGACTGTAATCTAAATTAGCATATAACAGGATAATGATATTGAGAACATAATTATTAAATAGTTATGTCAAAAATATTTCATTCAGCTATAGATGAGGAGAGTCTGATCTTTCACAGTAATATACCATTTTAATTCCTCACAAACAGACTGATAGTAATAGGAAAGCATTCAAATGAAGGATTTGGAATGATTTAGAAGGAAGAGCGCTGTGCTTATCAGAAGGGGCTGTCATTGAGACATTTCAGCCAGAAATAACTTCCCAATTCTCTTCTCAACTCCTACATGACTGGTGAAAAACAATTTGTGCACAGTCTGACTGAACAGTGGAGCCACCTCCCAAGGTGCATATGTATAAATGTATAAATATGCAAATTATGCAAAAGATATTAAAACAAAGAATTAAGTTTTTATATCCTACAGGCCATCTCCAACCACACATTATCTATTTAAATTTAAAAATGAGTTATATATGTAGAGGAACCACAACAGAAAATTTAAGATCTTGAAACAGCAGGAAACTCAGCAGGAACTTGCCTATACATTATCATAGAATTATTTTAAAAGAAACTGGTCAGAGGCATTTGAGCCCCCTCTGCAAACCTCGTGCCTGCTTTACAGACCACACACCAATGCAGCGGAAGAAACAACCTAAAATAATTTCTGTGAGTTGAGCAGGAATGCTCACATAATCACTGGAAATGCTCTTAATTGGTGTGGCTCAGTGGTGCATTTCAGAGCTCTTAGATCTTCTGCCGCTCTGGAACTCTTTTCATGTCCTGGCAATCCCAGCCCAGCCAGCAGTTTGTTTATCATATTCAGTATGAATTTCCGGATCTCCAACAAAGTGGTATTTACTCCGAGGCAGGGAAGACTGCAGTAATCCAATAAGTTCTCATTAGCCTAAAATGCAGAAACATCTGCTGGGGTCATGAGCTGCTTTGCTTGCTGTTGATGAGCACAGACTCGGCTCCATTTGCAGCTTGAACAAAGGGTTTGGGGGGTTTGGGGTGTGGTGAGGGGACAAATGATGATTTCCAGGGCTGCAGCTCCACCCCGGTGCACCCCAGGTGGGAGGGATCCTGCTTTACCTTGACCCTGGAGCCCCCATCACAGAAATTACAGCAAAAATGCCTCGACTCAGCCCTCCCGAGCTGGTGGTCAGAGCCTGGCAACAGCAGTCACTGAGGAGAGGGTGGTCACAGCTCCCAGAGACACACCAGCACCAGGCAGGGCAATCTGCAGGGCAAACCCAGCTTCAAAGCTTTGCCAATCTCTTTTTAGACAACCAAGAATTTTGCAGGAGACAAATACTTCCATTTCTGGGCTCCTCCTTCCCACCTGGCTCATTTCACAATTGCTTTCAGTTTTTGGAGGAAGAAAAAAAAATTCCTTCCCTCTGCCCCCCCCCCAAAAAAAGCACCTTAAAACACATGAATGTTAACAATTGGTGAAGAACTTCTGGCCTAAAGGATGAAAAAATAGGTGATAAGTAAATTCTGCACAAGTTCAAACCAAACAAAACTAAATCTACATTAAGTTACAGCAGGGAGAACATTATTAATTCTATTGAGGAAAGAAAAGACACATAACCTGAATAAAAAGAGCCCTTAATTTGTTTAGGATTCCAAACGATTTAGAGCATGTGACATTGTCAGAAAATAAGTGGAAAATACAAAATAAGTGGTGTCACATCTGTTTAGTTCCTGCTCCAGTGATTCTGCAGTTCTTTGTTGTTGTTGTTTGTACAGTGTTAAATGGCAGCAGCCAATTCTGTGGCTATTTCAAGGTGGAGGAACCTAAAACACTTCTGCAAAGAGCCAAAACAGAACAACTTAGAACATTAATGAAAACTAAGAAGGAAAAGTGTCAGTTCAAACAAATTAAAAACCCTTTTCTGGTGAGGCTGGGCTGCTTTAGCTAACACTTGYTGTACCATTCGTACAAAAAATTACACAAGTGCTCAGTTTAAGGCAAAGAATGGCCAGAATGCTGAAATTAATGCCTCTGATTCTTCTGAAACAATGWGCGCACATCCCCGGGCACAGAATTGTTCTGTAGCAGCAGTTTGGCTTCAGCCCCAGGACTCCCCTGTGCCTTGTGGGAGGATAACGAGTGYAGCGAGTGCCGCCTGCAGCAGCGGGGCTGAACTACTGCCCCCGAAAGATTTACAGCCTTTAATTGTGCTCGCAGCAAGCACCTCCCCGGAGGCAGAACAATCAGCATTCCACTCCTTTTTAGAGGGAAAATTCGCATTGCTGGCTGTTGCTTAAGTAACGTGTGGGTGCACGGATGCACATCCAATAGTATCTCAAAGATAGAACTGAATAAATTCAGAATTCAGTCACTTGACTGAAAACGAGGGGTTTAATTTAAAAGTATTTCTTATAAGTAAAATACTTTTTCAGAGTGTCAGTGAGGTGTACCACAAGAAATCCTAAGAAAGACATTCAGATACATCTATTATCACCCAGACACTACAATATTGATTTCYATTTCATCCCTCCCCTCCCATATTTAAGGTGACTCTTCCCAACTTTCAGTCTCAGAATTGACATAAAAATGATCATAAAGAAGTTAAAGGTGTGAGGACACAGAGCCCAGTAATCATCCAAACCCAGCAAAACCAGTTTCATCACACTGGAGCCTTTCTACCCCCATCTCCACCCACCAGAACTAACCAGCCCACGCATTTACGGCCAGGCTCTGACTGCTGGGCAAAGTTCCCCATCCAGTGGCCAAATTCATGGATGCAGCTCATGCTCCTGACCCTGAGCTGAATCTGTTCTGATATGCTGAGGGGCAGCCACACAGCTGAACTACCAGGTGCAGATCTTGTGTGAGGAAGAAGAAATAACAGAGGAATATTCTAAAATAACACTGGCTCACAGATAAGTATCTGCCTAACAAATGGCACTGACATTGTATGCAAGGAGAGTCTGAACACTTTGTATTATGTGTATGGCACATCTATTGATCCAGTKACTTAATTTACTCCTAATTTGTAATAAAAGGAGACAAGAATCCAGTTAGACCCTTAGTAATGGCAGGAAGAAAGCTTAAACAGTCCCTGAAGGAGTGCAAGGAGAATACTCCAGGTATGAGTAGGCCAAAAGCCTTCTAGACACAGCTTGAGCTAGACATGCACCACACTGAACAAAACACAAAGCAAAGCTTTTGAAAACCCATCACAGGAAGAGGTTCCACAGGTTAAAAAAATACAGGTTACAGCATGTCTTCCAGAGAAAAAGGCATTCCATGTACGCAAATGAAAGTATGTTGAAGAAACATGCCAAATCTGGCATGTATGCTCATAGCACAATCAGTAATTAGGRTTGTGGTTTCTTTTCATGTTCCTAATCTTTTGGCCTTCAGCACTTGAGATGCTCATGGCTGACCACTGGGACCACTTAGTGTGTATAAGTCCATCACTGGAGTGTATAATATCAACCCTAAGTAAGCCAGATGGAAAGAAATGCTGCTGTAGGAAACCAGTGAAGATATTCAAACATGAAGGCTACTGATAAAGCAGTGGAAAATAGTCTTTATTAAAAAGAATAAAATCCTTAAAGAGGAGTCAGGTTTATACAAAAGCATTTATGATTTCAATAATTTAATTACAAGGCAATTAGGCAACCAGTAACCAAAACTTCTCACTTGCTAAAAGTGACCAGTCTCCTTCCAAGCAAGTGCTTTGTACCCACACAGCTTTTCCCCTCGGCACATCCAGAAACATGGGACAACTAAGAGTTCCTGCAGAAGTTGTTCAGTGAGCAACCAATGCTCAGGCTGTACATTAACACAGAGGTCAGATTTGCACTTTTTATCATTTACCTTTCACTACGGTCAAGGCAGAAAGTGATGGAAAATCTGTCACAGCAATCCATGTTAAAAGAGAGCGGTGATGTCTCCCTGTGGGACAGCCTGGAACACAACTCTCCAATTTCTGTCTCAGTGAGCACCCCTGCTGCTGGCTTCACTTAAAAACTGGGCAAGATGTGTGTCCATACAAGAGGTAAAAGGGTAACAAACCTGCTGGCATTGTGTTAGTACCTACCCAGTAGTAAAACAATACAAAGCTTAGTTGAAATACCAGCGTTTGACAACATCTACTCCATGATTCTCTTCGCACAAGTATTGGTTATGCAGAGAAACTTCTTTACAGGCTTCAAATGACAGGTTCTGCACGTCTGTGAAATGCCTGGAACACATGAAGCTGAATTAGTGACTTTGAAGGACAGTAATTCTGCTTTACCCCAAAGATTACACACCTGGACATTTGCATCTTTTTCCTACTATGGACCAGCAAAAGAAAAAAAAATGTAAAATGTCAATTTTCTTCCTACAAGCAAGAATCTGAAGGAGAGATGGGGCAGTTTGAAGGAGGGGTAGATGAGTGGCTTRATGGTCTATTAATCTGCAAAGATTTTAGCTATAATATCTTCTGGGGCAATGAAGGAAGGAAAGTACATTATCTCTTCCTCATCCTCCCACTGATACCTTGTATTTGTTGTCACAGAGGAGAAAACCCTTCTCTGTGCTCCCTTCTAAAGGATGACACATTTGCAGGGGTGTTATTTACAACAGTTTCCAGTTCATTATTCTGTCTCCCGGGTTTCTCCACTCCTACATATCTGYACTTCCCAGTTCTATTCCTGCTCAGTGAAATTCCCAGCTGAAGTGTGAGGGAATGGCACACTGAAGTGGTCACGTGGAATACRCCAACAGAAACAACCCCAAWCACCCTACTTTGACTGTAGGYAGGGCAGGGACAGAAACACAGATGSCTGCTACAAAGAGAATTAAAATTAGTGCTACCTCAGTTAATCCTCCTCCAGTCTATGCTCTGGATATATTCTGACAAAGTCTATAGATTTTCCTTGCACTATTTAGCCAACAAGTCTTTCCACCCAATTGTTGTAATTACCTTTGAAGCCCTTTACTCAGTTGCTGAGACACTTCTTCAAGCTCTTTCAGTGCACTAAGTGTTTTTCCACTGTCTTCTGAGGGACTTGGCATTATTTCTGTCAGAAGCTCCTGTGTAATCGTTAATTGCTTTCCCAGTTCATCTAGAAGATGAAATGTTAAAGGTATTATTAAAAATGCAGTGGCACCAGTTAATACAAGGTATTAACAACTGGAAGAACCCAGAGACAGGTGAACTAGAAAACAAAAAACTACTTGGCAGCTGTGAAAGCCAAATTATTTTTCACTACTGTGACCAGCACCAGCAATAGGCTGTAAGAATTGCTAATCAAGCTCTTATTTATTTAGAGTATGTCAAAGATTTTTAATACAAATATAAGAGAAAAAAACCAAGTTTTATATGTTCAAAATTCCCTGGCCAGTTTCATGTATTGCTACTGGCACGTAGCCCCTCATGAAATTTATCCAGTTATTTTCTTCAACATACACAAACAAACAAAAAAGCCCTACCCCTTTTTAGTCTCCTACAAAAATTCTAAATTCTTCAGTAACATTTTGCATTTGTTTTAAAGTGCAAGATTACTGTAATAGGTTTAAGAATCTTGTTTCTTGTAGACCAGCAGTTAAAAAATGTAACTTTCTGTCCAGACTTCAATACAAAATGCATGTACTGATTCATTAAACATTCTCTGGTTCAAGACAAAACACAGTATTATTAAACCTCCAGTTCTGCAAGAAACATGAGCAAGTCTACCTAGGTGACTCCTGGGTACAGAAACACAGAATGGGAAGAGATCATTGTATTTCTACAACTTGTTTAYACAGTAGGAACAAGAAAGGGGAGGAATGCCATGAATACAGTTAAAATATGTACAAAACTGCTAAAGAACATGCATATGAAGACTGAGCTAACTCAATTTCCTCTCTGCTGCAAGATAAAAAAACTCTGCAGTTAAGTGGCTAAACAGAGATAAGAATTACACATAGCACAACATGTGACTATTGCTGCAGCCCAGTGTCCACACAAGCTCTAAGAGCACACAAAGTTCCTCTAGGGGCCACAGACAGATGTAGCAAYAACAAAGTAAGAAGCTTTTTAGCACTATTTCTGAAAGCGAATTTGAAAAGGCAATTTTTCATACCAAGGTAGGTTTGCTTATCTCCTCCTATGTGAATGTTCTTAATGGGTAATTCATGTCTTGCAGCATCCAGCGAGTCTGCAAAGCTTTTATATTGTTCYTTAAACTGTTCACAGACAGCAACAAGGGGAGACAGAGCTTCTATCTGAAAGAGACACAGTGAACCAACATTTCTGCAAAAGCACATATTTTGTAATTGCACACCTGGCTCACTACAKAAAAATATATTAATCATTGATTAGAAACCTGTCTTCTTACAAGCAGGCCAGAACTACTGCTGGCTAACACGTAAAACCAAGACAAACAGAAGATGTTCACTTCTCAGTAAGGGGTGCCATCTCAGCTCTAACCGTAACTGGAGTTGCCTAAATGCAGGATGTTCACATGGTTTTGAGTGCTTTCATCCCCTGTGCATCACCCAGACCCTGCCCTGGCAGCCACTGCAATCTCTGCCCTTGCCCAAGAGCACCAACTTCTCCTTTCTGTCTGTCCATGAGGGACAGCACAACAATGACAATGGCACTTGCTCAGGTACTACAAAGCATTATAGGCCTCAATAGGAAGTAGATATTTGTTTTGTTCAAAATGCATAAAATTGTATTCCTGCAGGCCACAGAGGCAGAGAAATCTGCTCTGGATAAGGGACTGCTTCATACATGAACTTGTTTAACTATCAGAGAAGTATAAATTGTACTAAAACTTACCTGTCTGTCTAACATTTCATTGAGCTTCTGCTCTCTCTCCTGGAGCAGAATTTCACGTTTCAGTTCCCAGAGCTTCTTCTGCTGCCTCCGCTTTTCTTCGCACAACATTAATAAGTTTTTTTCTGCTTTTTCTTCCATCTTGGCAACTTTTTTTTCTGCCTATTAAATCCCAAAATATTCACAATTAAAGCAATGCTACGTCTAACCAGCTCCATATTCTAAATAAAGAAATGGAAGCCTCAGACCAAGTCAAAGAGTATCAATAAGATCTCACGCAATAAGTGCAGAACATCAGAGCTAAAGACCCCTTTAGGACTTCCCCCACCCCTGCTCCTTTTTGTAAAGGAAAACACACATACAGAGCACTGAGGGGAAAAAAATCATTGCTACAACTTTGAACTCCAGACAGACTCAATCACAGTTTTCCCAAGACTTCTGCATCCCCCTAAGAACCAGCACCAGCTCAATAAACTGGCACTGACTTCAGTCTAAGAGTTTTCATAGCAAGTATTATGATTTTACAACCATAAACACACACAGTCACAAAAATCTAACTTTTAAAGGTCAGGAAGCATTTAAGAAATTAAACAATCCCTCAATAACAAGTTCTATGTGAAACTACTAGACTGCAACCAAATACTTGACTAACTCTCACCCTTATTCTTAGGTAAGTTAAAAGCAGTGTCTCAGATTCCAGCTCTGCCATCGGATCACGAGAATCAGTTTCCTTCAGAAAAGAAAAGAATCAAGTTTGGTATTTAAACAATTTTTTTTCAGTGGTCARATTAATGACCAAATAAATTACCAGTAGACTAGTTCATGCCTGGAATCATCACTGACAACAGGCAGCTTGATGAGAAACRTTTGTGGGTTTAAACACTCCTGTTAATTACATAAACCTCCTTGTTCCACAGAAATACAAGAATCCACTGGAGGAGATGCTGCAATTGGAACAGATTCTTCACCAAAAGAAATGGAAGTAAAGCTCTGGTCAGTGTCCAGCTATTTGATAAACACAACAAATATTGCCAGCAGTAGAACTGACTTCTGTAAGGAGGCTTTAGATCATCCCAGGACCTTAGATGTAATTCAGATTAAAGATAAATCTTCATTTCACATGTTTCAAAATAAATACCCTTACCAATGAARGCAGTGAGACTCACCTCRTCCGTCACTCTGGTTTTTGCCCTTGTCTCTGAATCTCCTTCTGAAGTAGATTCCGAATGAGAACTCTTCTTGGGGTCAGTTTTACCTGTAGCACAACACAATAGTGTGCTTTTCTACTGAGACCTATAGGGTGGGTTAAGACACTAGGTTCTTTAAAGGCAGAGAGAAWTTCAAAATCATTGTCTGTACCAGTAAAGAAGACTTGTGCTCTATTTCTGGCTTTGATATACTCATGAGCAGATGYGGATCACAAAAGCATTTTACTTTAAGTAACAAACAGATGTGATCCACTTTTCAGAAGGGCTGACACCCCCTTGTTATAGGAACGAAGACTCAGGATTACTTTACTCTTTAATTTTAAGCTTTAAACAAAAACTGAATACCCAAAAGATCCGACAAATCAAGAGCTTAATTTAAACCCCAAAGTTCTTAGAATGTCTGTTTAAAGTCCTTTTGTGAATATACAAGAATAYAACAATTTCTTATCCCCAAGTTTCAGCACATACATAAAAAATTATAAAACCAAAAATTGAGTATAAATGGAAACTTACCATTAATAGCAGAAATATCAAGGTCTGGTAGCTTCATTTTTCCCTCATCTAATAAAGTGGACTGCAAGTCACCCTTCTCAAAAATACTCTGATTTAATGAGCTATGGTCAACACCTGCAGAAAGAAGCTGTTGTCAGACTAAAAGAATTAGAACATGTTCAGCAAAAGTTCAAAATTTCAAGTTGCRGAGGCCCAGGGAAGCTGATTTGGTCACATCCCTTCCCTCACACCCCACTATGATCTGAGAAATACTCATTAGGCCTCGGCCTTGATGAACTGAACCTGGACCAGGTCCCTCTTGAGCTTATCAGRAACACTCTCTTCCCAGGATTGTCTAATGAGCACCTGTTTTTTAATGAACAGCCTTGGAAACCTAATTTTCTTGAACCTCCAAAGAAAGTTACCAACTGGAATTGTGGTCATGATGGAAAATTATGATTAAAACTCACTCTGTAACAACCCCATAAACAGCAGTTCAAGGAGAGACCCCCTGAGGTCCAATTCCCAGAAAACAAGGGGAGAATTTGTCTCAAACACCAATAACTGAATGGCTGTGGAAACAACCAAGGACTGTCAGTAATACTAGACAGGAATTGTTGGTAATAACAAAGTAAATAAAAATGGATTGTTTTGCAGACAGAGATTTTCAGAATAATGGTGAGGGCATAGAAAAAGAATAGTTCAAAACCTCTTGGAGAAGGCAGGAAAGATACTTATTTTAGACAATTCAGTCACCCAATTCCAAATACAGTATTTGATTTCTCATAGTCCTTCATGAAGTTTCATAATTTCCTTTGCATACAAATAATAACTGTCAGTGATGCAAGAAATACAAAATATCAACATCTTAGAGTTGTCAATAGGTTGAGAATACAAAATAGCTTTTACMCACTGGTAAAACCTACCAGCAGAAGCTTCATGTTTCTGAGAAACAACTGATCTTGCTTTAGTTCCAGAAGATGGCAGAGAAGTATTCGATGAAGAGGAACTTGATGAGGCATCCTGACAATAAAGAAACAGCTAAGACAGAACATAATGTGCAATATATTTTACCTTCAACTCGAATACTTGTTTATTTTTGACAATAAACAAGTAAATCCCAGGACACCTTGGCGCTTTTTAAGTCACCCGAGTATAATCCCAAGTTCCCACCTAACAACACACCACAGTTCCCTCACAACCCAGCAAAGTCGGTTTTCCCCAGGTCTCGCTCCCCACGTCCAAGCCGCCCCTCACACCTTTTCTGCCTTCCGCTGAGCGACGCCTGAGCTCGACARTCCCGGCACCTTCTTGGTGTCCTTCTTATCGTACTGCAAGTAGCGAGACTGCACAACCCTTCCTCCTGAAAGATGAGCAAAATGAGAGCCCAGCCGGGCCCACCGCGGGGCTTCCAGCCTCAGGTCGGACCCTTCCATCGGCCGGGCCGAGCCGGGCCGGGATCCCGCCTCAGCCAGCGCGGGTCCGCCCTCACCCCGAGCTACCTTTCCGCTTGGTTTTGGACGCCTGTCCACCCGTCGGCGTGTCGCTGCCCTCCGACGACATGGTGCCRAGGCAGCGGCGGGCGGGCGAGGGGCCGGGCGGGGATCGCTCCCCCTCAGCCCCGAGCCGCCTCAGCCGCCATCGCGTTTGAATCCCCGCGAATGCGCGCCCCGCCGTGAGGGCGCGGTGGGGGCGGGGCAGCGCGCCCCCTGGCGGCGCGGAGGAATGAAAGGCGCTGAGGGCTCAAGGTTGGGGGACAGCGCTGCGTTTGAAATAAAATTATAAAAGAGGGTCTGGCAGCTCCTGCAGCACGGCTGGATATAAAAGGGCTCCTTCAGCTGGTGAAGTGTGTTCTGGGTCCTCAGTACAAGAAAGACRAGGAACTACTGGAGAGGATCCAACAGAGCTCACTAAGAGTTTGGGGAGTCTGGAGCATCTCCGACGAGGAGAGACTGTGGGAGCTGGGCCWGGTTAATGCAGAGAAAAGAAGGCTGARAGAGGATCCCATCAATCCATACAAGTATTCCCAAGGRCTGTCCAGACAATGGTGCCACTGTTCAGTGGTGCCCAGCRACRGCACAAGGAGTGATGGGCACAAAGTAAAACACAAGACAAACACCTCAACATGAGGAAGAACTTYATGCTGAGGGTGGCAGAACAGCTGCCGAGAGAGATAATGGAATCTCCCTCTCTGGAGACATCCCAAATCCACCTGGAGGCGTKCCTGTATCACCTCCTCTGGGTGGAGGGTTGGAGTGGGTGATCTCGAGAAGTCCCTTCCAGCCCAAACAATTCTGTCATTCTGTAAACACCAGCCCGCTACGCTCGAGAGCTCCTGCGCTGCCCCATTGCTCTGACAGAGCGAGCAGCAGCCACCCTGCCATGCCCACAGCAGGAGCCCTCACACCGCCGGGCGGTGACGCTCCCAGCCCGGCACAGCACCGCGCTTCTTCGGTTTTGACAAGAATCCGCCCCCGCTGTCTCAGACACACAGACAGACAGACAGACAGCACCTGGCTGCACCGGGAGCCGCGGCGGGGGCGAGAACCGGGCTCAGGGCTCGAACCCGCGRGCCCCCGAACATCACCCGCCGCATCCCCTCCCTCAAAGCCCTGCCGCGGGGCTGCGCATGCGCGGTGCGATGCGCGGCGCTGAATGGGCGCGCCCCGGCTCCCCCCCCACCCGGAAGTGGCGCGCGCGGGGCCTGTGGCGGCGGCGGGGCCGGGCGGCCGCGCTTCGACAGCGGCGCAGGTAACGGGCCCCGCGCTCCTCTCCGCCCTGCTCCTGCTCCGCATCCCTCCCGCGGCACCCTCCCTCCCTCCCGCTCCTTCCCTATGGGCGGCTCAGAGCTGCGGTGGCGCTGCCTCGCAGGGAGTGGGTCTCGCACTGAGCGCTATGGGGCAGTTGTGTGGGGGTCTGTTCTGAGGGTGTGTTTGGGGGTCGGTGCCGCGGGGCTGATTTGAGGGGGGGGTGTGGGGGTCAGTGCCAGGCCGGGGCAGCCGTGGGGCTCCTGCCTTCGGGAGCTCGGGGCTGGAGCGGTTCCCCGGGGCGCTCTCGGGGCCGGGGGCTGTGCTCGGCTCCGGGGCAGATGCGGTGCTGCTGACTGACTTTGTGTCAGCTGTGCCCGAGGAGCTGGAGGTGCCCAGGGGAAGGGAAGTGTCTGCCCRCTGAGCAGGGTACGGTGCTACTTCCATCTCTTGTTTCTTCCGTCTCCYGCTTGTGATCTTTCAGCCGCAATCTTCTGCTTTTTCATGTGATGTCGCTGACTCTCGGTATAAATAGCCTRTAATCTTTCAGAACAAACACCTCATGATCTTTCAAAAAAAAATCGTTAAAACTCTCAGAGTTCTTTTGTTTCTTTGTGTTATTTTCGGGCAGCTCCTGACAGTTRGTGCTGCTGCTGTGCTGAGGTCGTGCTTTATCGTGATGACTGTCATTGCTCAATTGAGTCATGTCTCTGTCTGTGTGTATGTCGGTAGTGCTCTGTCTTTTTGGCAGGCTTGGTTTTGCAATCTCTGGGAAGTAAAACTTTTGCAAGCTCGGARCATCCTTTGTTACATGTTTCTAGACTAAAAGTATCGGACAGCTATCCTGACTCATGACTATCCTGGCCATAGGTTTGGTACAGGTATGTGTGATGTGGAAAATGAATTCCCAGTATAATTTTARCTTTGTTTTCTATTACGCTGTTTAGTATTTTGGGAAAATTCTTGCCCAGCTTTATTTGCAATTCTTGTTTGTGAAAAGCGAGAAGCACTTTGGATGCAAATGAGCTCAGCATTCTTTGATTTCACCTTCTGGAAATGGGTGGCAGTGGAGCAAAGGGCTGGAGATGATCTCAAGCTCCTGGCAGATGCAATTAGCCTTTCAAAGATGTCATCAGCATCCTCCCACGGTACTCCTAGAGGTGGAGGATCGGTATCGGTGCGTCTGCCGAGCTGTTTGCAAATAAGTTTGTCATGGGTAATTAGGAGCTCTTTGATTTCAGGCCTGTTAGCTGGAATCCATGGCTGAAGTACTTGCCCTAAAGTAACAGCGTGGGGTAACCCTGCATTCCGGTTTAGGATGTTGGTGTCACACCCTGAGAGTTTTAGTAAGCCCTGAGTGTCTTTAACTCACAATCTTGTCGGGAACAAATCCATTTAATGTAGGGGAAGCAGCTTKGGGAGTTTTTAATGCATGTTCCTATTAGCTCCAAGATTCATTGTGGCTTTTTTTTAGGAAAGTGTTCATCTTGATTATTTTTGTCTTGGCACTATGATGGGGTTCTCTGCCTACCTCTCAAGTCCAATAGTGTGGTGCTTTTCAGGTTGGTGCATCTAAGACCACATCCTCAATCTTCAATCCTTACTTATTCACGTAAAACTCAGGAGTTAATGCAGTTAATGCCAAGTTTTTTGTTGAATTGTACAGTTTGGGGTTTTTTGTTTTTTTTTTTGTTACCCCGCCTAAGAACATTTGTGTCAACAAAAAGCTTTTTCACAAGTTGAATGTTGCAGCTCCTGCAGTGACAGCTGCCTGCACAMACAGTCCATTCCCAGTGGGAAGGCTCCCAGGTTTTGGGCTTTTCTGTGGAACCCAAAACGCCTGTGGAACTGAATAATTTAGGAAGAGTAAATGCAACTGATGAAAGATTTAAACGAGGTTAACCTAGAAAGGAATACTCTGTACAGACTGTTTCTGACCCATAGTGATTCAAACACTAGACCTCTTGAATAATCCTGTGCATGAATAACTGTTTGACTCACATGCACACTGAGGCTAAATATGGCCTTTCCTCAGCTAGAAGGTTAAAGGGCAGGATTTGCATATCCTAGGCATTTAAAAAGGAAGAATTCCTAAAAAATGTGATATTGGCTGTCTCAACAGTCRAGGAAATGAGTGAAAGACTCTGATTCAACAAAAAGTTTGCAGCTCAGTGYTATTTTGTGAATTTGAAGGCTGAAGGTGTTTATCACATTTCTAAGAAACAAGGCCTGTTTATGCTAATATCAAGGAGAAGTAAAGCCTGAGATGCTGATAAGGGTTTATTTTTCTAATAGAAAGGACTGGGAATGTCTTTATTTCAGAAAAGGAAAATTGAAAGGTTTTGTCTGTAGATTATTGTGTTTTCTTGGTGTATCAAGTGACTTGAGCATGGCATGTGGAGTTGCTTTTATCAAAGCTTTATTGTGTTGCATGTCTCTGATTACCAAATGAAACTCAATGCAGATTCTAGAAAAATCTGCCCTTTCTTTAAAGACCAATGATATTTGACAATAAAAGTGTTTTTAAGGATATTTTTGMCATGCGTACATTCTGTTCACACAAAAGTCCAACCTAAAGTTTCTTAAATAAAAGTTCTCATTGGTGTAAATGTAGCATTAGAGCTGTGAAATTTTTATTTCCTTTGTTGACAGYTGTAGTGCTGTTAATGAAGAAAACTACAAAAGGTGGTAGAACAGCCCCCAAGGTTCTTTTGGCTTGCATTCTTTACCTCTGACCCTTTCAGTTGTTTTGCCTTGATTCCCCATCAGGGCCACATTTCCTGAATCATACTGCCATGTAAATCTGTCACTGTATGACATCACATTTTTATAAAGGTAGTAACATGTAAAACATCCTAATGTCACTGTGAAACCTGATAAGGTATCTGTGTTTTGAGGGGAGATTGTGCATTTGAGTGATTCAGAGGAAGTCTGTCTGAATCTGGGATGSTTTAGGGTGTGGATTTGGGTTCCCAAGAGCAGGTAACTGAGAGGAAACTGCCTGTAACAGAAGTAATTTCTTTGACTTTTTCCTGTGTTACACTGCATTGCAGCCCAGCTTCTCCTTTGTCAGGCACTCTGGGGCAGTAACTTCCCTGGCAGGGTTGATTGCAAAGAGTAGTAACGAATGTGTTGTAATTTTTGTGTGGTCCATTCAGAACTCCTCCTTTTGGAGTAGAAAAGGCCCAGAGATTTTAGTTGAAGAAAACCAAGAGCCTAGAATCATTTATTCCATCTGAATTTTTTGTGACCAAGGAAAACATTGAAGTGTGACTAGAATGCAAAGTGATTTTCARGTAATCTACAAATGCCTGGAATACTGAAAAAAAAGTTAAAATCAATTATGCTCAGTTAACAGCACCAGTCTGTCCTTGTGAGATGAGGTGGGACCAGGGTCTTTGCCTTACCTGTACTCCACAGGTAATTATGGCAAYTTTAGGGTGTTTCTGTACCCTGTTTTGCTGGAAATTCCTTCCTTTGAAAATCAAGGTCAGTAATAGCTGAATATTTTTGAAATTGCTGAATGTTTTCAGTTGGACTGGACAGATTGATCTCTTTTGGGGATGGTCACTGGCAATTCTGGTGTTTAAAAATATTAGAGGTGAAGTACCTGTGATGCATTTCCACTTTAGTGTTGAGAATTGCTTGGTGAGCAGTGGGWGAAGCTTGAATCTTTCCCTTTGAGGAATGCAGCACAGCAAATGCWCATGAAAAATGCAAAGAACTGGAATATTATAAAGTTCATCCTCAACAATTTTGCTGTAATGGTAGCTTTCCCGTTTTAGCTTCACTRTGATTCATTGACTAAATATGTGGCTTCAAATTATGGCCTTATTTAAACTAAAAAGATACCCTGCACTGATTGGGGCAAAGCTCTCTGCTGGAGTTCCACTCTGTTACCAAGCAGACACTGTTGGCTTTAATGCATGTTAAAAAATGAATTGGCTTAATGGAGTCCAGAAGACTCTTACAAAATACCATCAAAATTACCTTCTAGAATTGGAATTGTTTGGTTTTTATTAAAATTGTCTGAGCAAAAAGTTAAGTTACAGATTTTTTTCCTCCTCCATACGTTGAAAAGGGATTTCTGATAAGGGGTATCGAAAGAACTTGAGGTAACTGTGGAATTTCCACCTACAGACAGAACCCAGCAGTGGTTGGTCTGCGTGGTTTGTGTGCTGACCTGGATGGTTTCGGTATTCTTTCTTGTATTTCTCCTTCTACTTCCATTATTGTCTGCACCTGAATGCAGGCTTGTGCTTCTCTGATGAGCCAAATCACATTGAAGAAATATTTCAATTGCTTAAAAATTGTCTAAACAATTGGAGATCATAAAATGAGAAGGAATCACTGCAGTCATGTCTGCAGACTGCTTTTGATGTAAACAAGAGGATGGTACCTAATGAACCTTTTTAATTATGAGGCACATTGGTTACTGAGGACCAGCTGATTTTCTAAAAAGAGCTTTGGCAGTCAGGCCTCATCATTTGTGTCRGTGAAGTTTTTGCAGTTCAGTTTAACCTTTCTGGTGATGTTTATGTCTGATGTTTGCCTAAGTTCGTTTAGCTTTGAATTCCAGCCTCTGGCTTGTGTTGTGGCTTTGTCCTCCAGCCTGGTGATTGCACCCAACTGCAGGTCCTGTGCAAGGACTGACACTGATAACAGTGTCCTCTGTGTGCTCCTCACAGACAAAACTTGGAGACTGTTTGGCTGTAAGGGGGGTATTTTTTAACAGATTTGGGTTTGTTCTTGTTGTTGCTACTCTTAGCTCCTTAACTGAAATTTGGATTTATGCTAGATGCTGTGTTGGTCATGTATCTTCTGAGTACAAGGGTAATATGGCTGCTTAACAAAATACTAATTTGTTTATCTGGAAATTGCATTCACCATCATGCTTGTGCGTTATGGTARATGATCATGTTTAAATGATTCCTTGCTATGTTTTCAAACCTATTTCAGTTAACTCCCRTTCCATTTCTCTGATATGGATAGTTTCTTGGATAAATTTGAAGTTTTATACATCTGTAAACTCAGCTGAAAATTGTTTAGCATTTGTTTTCTTGCTCCTGTATTACTGAACTATATAATTGATTTAACTTATTGATTACTTCCTGCCTTCTCAATCTCTCTATATGTTCTTTAGCAGTAATTCTTTTCTTTCTTTTAGAACCATCATGAAAATGTTTACTTGGATGCCAGGAATTCAACTTCACTAGGAACTCATCCTCCRATTGCTTGAAGACACCCTGTCCTTAGTTGAATACTGGGACTTACTAGGTAACCAATTTATCATCTGTCTAGTGACTGCTCTTTTGTATTCTAGGTTGTGGCTTGCAGAATGGTTTCATGTGAAGTCAGAGGTCTGTTTCTTCTAGAGCAGTGTTGTCATCAAACCTCTGTAATGATTGGACATTCTCAGAAGAATTGGATGTTTCAGTTGTACACACCTGAGCAGATCCTACTGGCTCTAATGGCCCTGGGTTTGTCACTCATAGAGGAGTGGCATCTGCACTCTGGTTTCCTCTTTGGAAAGTGTGAGCTAGGATCTTGAGCAATATCCCACATTTTGGTGGCTGACATGAGCCAAGGTTAGGAAATGTGTGTTAGTAAAGTCACAGGTCAGCACCGAGGTTCAGCTCTTCTGTGTTGGCAAAAAGCTGGTGCCACATTTTTTTTAGGGAGCTGTTTTGGCCAAAATGCTCACTGAGGGGACTTCCTCTATCTTAGCAGACTGGGTGTCTGAAACTAATTGCTGGGGGGTGAAAAAAGGAAGTCTGCAAAAGGCTGTCTCCCATGAACTGGCTGAGTATCTTGAGAGGAAAATGGTCACTGTTCTATTTTTCTGTCTCTGCTCAGATTCATCTTCCCCATGTGAGCAGCAATCTGCAGTACATTTTGCTATGTGTCAAGGTTKGAGCTTTTATATATTAAAAATGCTTAACACTTGCATAATTGCWTCAAAGGTGCTTCAGACTTCTTTACTGGTCAGTGATAATTACAGGAAATGGAGAGGGAGCTTGGAGCTCACTGCCCCAGCCTTTGTATGACCAGGTTCTTGGAACCAGTCCTCCTTAATGACTGAAGAATGACATTTAATGGGGAAAAAACATTCTTGGGTGGATCATACGGTTTGATCAGAGATGTGTTGTGGTTTGTCTCGCCATCTGTGGCTTATTCAGCCTTCCTTTTGATGAGTAGCCACTACAAATGATCCAGCTTGTGTGGCAGTGTCTTCTGTGAGCTGTCTGTGCACAGTCCCTTAAAGCACAGCTCCCTCCTTGGAGGCTGTTCATGAGGCACAGCTATGTCATATGTTTCTGTGAAGTGATTCATTACTTGCAGTGGAAGTGGCAGCTAAAAGCCTCCAACCCTACTGATTTTAATTTGAAATGATTACTCTCTGTGGCCTTGTGCAAGTTCCTGTGTAGTTGTTTAGTGGCAAAAAGTAACTTCTYTGGCATTTCTCTGCCTCTTTCCTCTTTTATTTTAAATGTATTTGGCATGTCAGTGTATAATTAGAACACTTTGTTCTTGAAACAAAAATTGAACTGCTATTCTCAGTATGAAGTTTTACAGACTGCTRAAACAAAGGGGTACTTCATTATCCTTCTGTTTTTAGTACCCCTTGATGAGCAAATGAATTGTGGAGCTAAAGCAACGTGGGCAAACTTAGCCYTGGTAATCTGGGGGCACTGGATTGCAAATAAGAGAAAAATCACCAGCAAAGGCACAGATGGTAACWAAGTCTAGAGACTTTTATCTTGGCAGTAAGGAAGAGGCTGGCTTCTGAGATTGTTGATAGGCTGGAGTTACGTGTCTGGCCTGCACCGAGGSTGAAAGGAGGAAAAAGCAATCAGTGAATGATTTTTGGAGGCTTGTGAATGAGGTTCCTGAGCCCAGTGAGGAAGGAATTGATGTGATGGGTATAAAGGCTTGTGAATGAAGTGATTTATTTTGGATCTTGTTTACAGCTGWAAAGCAGTTGCAATAAGACTAACTTTACTTTGTTGCCTAAAATGGAAGCTRAAAGTCATATTCAAACCCTGTGCAGCAAGGATGTGGTTCACTCAAGTAAAATGAGCAGTCTCTTATCTGTGGAAATGGTGCATGCTGAAGAAATCCCTACAGTGTGTTAGAGGGAGCCAGCAGCAGAGTTTGCTGCAGTCAGCTGGGGGCTCAGCTTCCTGAAAGCTCAGTGGGGTGAATTTACTGTACCTGTCTTGTAGCTCTCATGAGAAGAGCTTAGYTGGGGGAAATGAAGAAAGAATGTAAAGGTTTATCTCAGTGTCAGAGCCATTTTCCTCCTTGCACAAGGCACTGATGCCCCTGCCATGGCTCGTGGCTGCTCTAAACTGTCACAGCTGAACTAAGTGACCGAACCATGTTTCTACCTCAAGCTGCTTATTTAGCTTTAAGGAAAAGTTTCTGTGGAGGGTGGATAAAAGTTTATGTGAACCAGGTCAGAGAAAGTATCTGGGCTAAAACTGACATGGGGAAACAAGGAAGCTTTAGTTTGGACATTGATCCTGGTTTATTTTGCTTTGGCTGTGTGAATTCTTGTGTGCCATGACAGGGAGGGAGGGGTGGAATGGGAATAGAAGGAAAAGTGAAAGGATCCTGGGTGCTGTGGCWGCTCTCCATTCCATAGGATACACCAAACAGGCTGTTTGGAATAATATCACTGATGGTTACATTATTAAAGAACAAATGCTTTATGTAATAAGTGTACTCTCATCCTCCAGAAAATAATACCTTTACCTAATACTTCTTGTACACACTTTTAAACACCCGATTTTTTCAATTTTCTTTTTTTTTTTTCAGACAATGGGCACTGCATATTAAGCAGGGGTGGAAGACTGAAGCCCATCTGGGGACAGAATGAGTTTAAAAGATGCTGACAGTGCAGTTTGCCAGGCAAAGGCAGCCTATAATCTTCATATTTACCCCCAACTCTCAACAGAAAGTGCTCCCTGCTGCAAAGTGACAGCAACCAAGGACAGCACGTCATCAGATGTCATCAAGGACGTGATTAACATCTTAAACTTGGATGTCTCCAAACATTATGTGCTYGTGGAGGTGAAAGAATCAGGTGGAGAAGAATGGGTACTTGACATAAACGATTCTCCTGTGCACAGGGTTTTGCTTTGGCCTCGCCGCGCTCAGGACGAGCACCCGCAGAAGGATGGGTACTATTTCCTCTTGCAGGAAAGGAACACTGATGGCACCATCAAGTACGTCCAGATGCAGTTGTTTTCCAAGGAGACGGATTCTCGGCGGTTGGTGGAGAGGGGATTTCTCCCCTGGCACCAGGAGGATTATGATGACTTGTGCAATCTCCCCAACCTGACTGAGACAACACTCCTGGAGAATCTCAAGTGCCGCTTCCTAAAGCACAGAATCTACACTTACGCAGGAAGCATCCTGATTGCAATTAACCCCTTCAAGTTCYTGCCCATTTATAATCCCAAGTATGTCAAGATGTATGAGAACCATCAGCTTGGGAAGCTGGAGCCTCATATTTTTGCCATTGCTGATGTGGCCTATCACACAATGCTTAAAAAACATGTTAATCAGTGCATCGTTATATCAGGTGAAAGTGGGTCTGGGAAAACCCAAAGCACAAACTTCTTAATTCACTGCCTCACTGCACTGAGCCAGAAAGGGTACGCCAGTGGTGTGGAGAGAACCATTCTGGGAGCTGGACCAGTTCTAGAGGTAAATTTATGCTCAAATTGCCTTCTGTGCAAATTGGTTTTTTAAAAATATCAAATAAATGCTGTTGAATGCTACTTTTGAGTCACCTATGAAATGTCACTGGTTTAGGCATRTCACTTGGTTTAGATTTAAATGTCACTGGGCTGCAGTGGTGCTTGGCAGCATTACCCAGCTGCTTCTGATTGATTTTCCTTATTATGCTTGCTTGACTTCCTGTTGCTTGTAATTTAGATATGACTTAACTTTCCACCACTGAACACCAATCATCTGGGACAGAGGTTACCTTTGTTTTCCACCTGAAAGTTTTGATGGCCTTTGAATCAAATCACAAGCAAATTTTTCATTAGTATTTTCATTCATCAACTGCTTGGTGTGATTCTGCCTTTGTGTGTGAACATTTTTACTGAACTCRCTTTTTGAGGGAGTTACTTCCTTTTCGACAGCTGTTTGTGGAAGAGAGCAACATTGTTAGTTGGGGAGAAAGTAGGAGTCTGTTTTGGCTTTGAATTATTACAGCATTTCCAACAGAAAGTAAAACTAAACATGTGAGAAGGAGGGGGTACAGCTGGTCTTGCRTTAGGTAATGTCAGGATAAACTCAAACTGATCTCTTAGGCCTCTCCCTTTTKCTCTCTTAAAGGAAAACTCCGGAAATGTGGGTGGATGTAATGGTCATCCTATCAAAATCTTCAACAGCAAAGAGCTTGACCACCAGCATTGTAATTTTTAGGTTTAGTTTCAAGTGCAACAACACTTTCATAAAAAAGTTTAAGCTTTTTTTAAAGCTCCTCCATAAAAAATGAGGAATATGTGCAAGTTCTTTTTTTCTTGCTTTCTRCTGCTTGAAAGAAGAAGTAAAATTGAGGCTTGTTGGTTGCTGGAGTTCAAGTTTGCAGTTCTAAACAGAAAACAGGAAGGGGTCACAGTGGAAAGCCCTGCTGATCAGCTGATCTTTCTGCCTTTGATAAATTTAAGTGTTTCATATCCTCGTCTACAGATGTGGTACAGCTGTGCCAAACCAGGYAGAGATGTAAGGTCCTCTGTGTCTGTTTGCTGAGTGCCAAATACACATATTCCTGGGGTCAGAACTAAAATTCATGACTTTGCTGGAATCACAGGCTGATGTGTAAATCTGGGTATGTTCATGACGAGATATCCGTGTTTTTCTATGCTAAGGTTAGTTGTCTTCTTCTTTAGWCTTCCACTGAGCATTTAGTAACATTTCTCATGAGAAAATAGTYTTTCAGAATAGAATATGTGTTATGTAAATTCAGTGTGCATCAAAAAAGCTTAGAACATAAGAAGTAAAATCCAGTTATTCTGCTTTGATGCATCCGAGTTGATTCAGCTGACAGGGAAGCTTCCATGTTTCCCAGTTTCAGTCACTAAGCATAATTTAAAAAGGAAAAAAAAAAGTCAGCTCTTGATCCTGGGGAGGAATGCACAGAAAGCTTACGTTGTTTTGTGGAAGTTAAACTGCCTGCAAGCTCCTCTTAGGGCTGGTCACTTCTAAATCCATCCGTGGTGACTCATTTTGGGTTTTTACTGAAGGGAACTGAAGTGCTACAAGGGAATTTTTCTTAAATGGGTGTTTCTGGGGATTTTTTTGCAGAATGGTTTTGCACTGTGCCCAGGCAATTTTGAGAATTTGAAATGTTATTCTGAGTCTTCATCAAAGCTGAAAATGTATTCTTGACTAAATACTTTCCTGATGTAAAAATGGGTTGCGTTTTGAGTCAGAASTTCCTCATTTTAGTGAACTCTTATTTTTCTGCCACCTAAGTAAAATGGGTCTGTTTTTATGCTGACCTACTGTAAAAGTTCAGGAGGTTAAAGCATCTGTTTCTAGCACAGAGGGGTGAGCACAATTAGGGTGCTATGGAGGTGGATTTATAATTTTATCTCRGAAACATTTCTTACTGAATCCTGTTTCTGAATTGGGTAATGAATCTGAGTTCAAATCTCTAAGCAATTACAGATAAACTATTGTTAATAGTTTTGCTCCTTGTTTACAATTTCTAGACTGGAGTTACAGCTGGAGTTACAGCTGGACCATGGAAGGTTGAATGTTGCTTGATGTGACCTTGTCAAACATCTGAGACATTAAAGATACGATGCTGAGACGGTGTAGTTAAAAATTAAATATGGTATCAGCACAAGTGCTGTCACATGGGCTGGGGAGAGGAGAATGGTCATGGGGTAACTCTGAGCCTCTGATGCTTCCTGCTCAATCCCAGCACCCATTTAAGCTCAAAAGGTTCCTTATAGGGCATCTAATAAGCAGAGGTAAATTCCAGTAATTCTGTTTGGCACTGCTTGCAGCTTTCCAGAGAAAAATCAGAGAGGGAGGCTGCTTCCATGGGACAACGGTGCCTAAAGCTGAGCTTTGTGCTGGTTTTTAACAGTTCATGGACATTCAGTTGTCTTTCCTGTATATTCCTTATATATTTCCTGTATAGGAATGGCTCTCAGATTATGGTTTGGTTTTTTTTTTTAAATTTTATTTTATTTTTTTAATTGTATCTCCAGGAGATAATCTCTAGTGAAGAGCAGTTTCTTTAAAACKGGTGGGAAGATAAATATAAGCTCTGTTTTAAGATAGTCCTGACTTTTTCAACCTTTTCTAAATTTAGTGATTAAAGTATAGTTCCCTGACTTGAAGCTTGTATTGACTTTTAAGTCCAAGTTACTTCTTGTATTGTCCAAGCCTTCTTGTATTGACTTTTAAGTCCAAGTTACTTATGATTGAATTACACTTGGGAACTATTTGGGTCAAATTGGGAATAGTGAATCAAACCTTGGGGAACTATTATTTGGGTCAAACTGGGAATAATGAATCAAATTTTTGTTTATTTTATAGTCTCAAACAAGGCAATGAAACCTTTCCATGCACTGAAGAAGTTTCCAAGAAATTTGTATTTTCCTTTCACCAGGAAAAAATGGCTTAASTGCATGTGTCAGTGATAAAATGCACAGTGTGCTATCTCAGGCTGAATTTATTTTGGAAATACAAAGTTACTCTTCAAGCCAGGTAATTTAGTAAAGTGGCAGAAAACTGAGTTAGGAGATGGGAGCATGTTGTGAGGGATAAGAGGAAATGAGAGCTTTGTCTTCTGGCAGCAGAGCTCCCCTTGGCTGTCTCTGTTGCTAAATTGTAACMCGCAGTATCCCAGGTTTATTACATWRTTTCAGTTACTTTTTGAGTGTGCTCCAAATTAATTTCTCTCTGAGATGGGAGCTGAGGAGAGTTGGAGCAGATKAAAATATTTGGAGTGTCATAATTCTTCATGAAATATTTTGAAAATCATTGCTTATTCCCATTTGGAGGTGTTCCTGATTTCTCAGTGATGCTGAACCAATCTTTGGAAAGAATTAAGGCCCAAATAAAATGCAAAGTCCAACAGGAAGCATTCATTAACTGGTCTTCTAAAGAGGAATTATTATTGACAGCACAATCAGGTGGGAGAATCAGATTTTCTAAACATCACCATATAAAAAACTTTCTAAATTTAATCATAGAAAGTTTTATGCTTTATGGTTCTGTGGAAAAGAGCCAAGCAATTTGCTGTCAGCTCTGTTTCATTCATGAGAGTCCTGCTGTGCTTGTGGCTTTGGTACGAGATGGACTGAAGCTCAGTGGAACTTCAGCTCTGGTTTTCATTTGTATTTGCCATCAAAGGCTGCACATGCATTTGGTGGGTGTAGCCTGTTCTAACCCAGGGAAAGTGCTTGTTTTGAGGCCATTATCTGCACGTGTTTGTTTTAAGAATCAGATTCAGAGGAGGAATGGAACTTCCTTTGTCCATTTGTTTGCATGTCACTGTTTTTTTTCTGGTGGAAATGTGATGTTGCCTGCATTTTCTGGTGGAAATGTGATGTTGCCTGCTTTTCCCTGCTGCACACAACTCTTGGGTAAAAATCACCTTGTCCTCCATTCAGTTCTACCGTGGGGATTGCTCAGAGTTCCCAGGACATCCCCCAGCAGGAGGAGTTGCAGAATTACCCTGAACACTGCAATTTCCCTGTTGGTGAGTGGATACTTCACACCAAGGTCGTGAAGATCTCTGTTAAACCGAGTTCAGCTCTGGAAAAGTCAGTTCCTCTTCCAGGGTGTGGATTTGAGTCTCYCATATCCTTTGACACATTAATCTGTGTACAGTAATGGTTCTGCCCTGGAGTTGAGTGGTTTACACAGAAACTCCCAATAGCTTTTTCAGATTTTGGCAATTCCTATGAAAGAATTAAATGAGACTTTTAGTTGTGTTCCTGAGATAGATGCTGGAGCATATGTGTAGGTTTTTGGATTTTGTTGGTTTGTTGGGATTTTTTTTAGCAAATAAAAGGAGAATTTGGTGGGTTTTGGAATACTTTTATATCTGGCCCTGTTGTAAGAGCTCTAAGTGTCAGCCTTCAGTTTATGCCTCTTGCATTCCAAGGTAAGAGGATGGCTTGAATGACTTCCTGCCTCCCAGAATAGGCTACCCCAGCTCTGATTCCTGCTGGCATTGGTCTGCTATTTTTGACTCACCCTGTTTTATACAGCTGGTGTTGTGYATTGGAGTGATTTCGTTTTAGATTTTTGGTTTTATTTGTCTTCTCATGGACTCACAAGGGAAAACAGTGAATGAGTTTGCTTATATAAAGGATTAATTCTCTTTAGCTGTAGTTTTCTTGTCCCCTCAGATCTTSTGAATTTATTTTGTGCTCRTCAAAGTGTATTGAAGAACATGGTWACAGTGATTAAAACTAAATGTTACCAAAAAAAAATTCCCCACCCAAACTGTTAACTGACTTGGAATGTTCTTTAAAGTTTTAGATGTTAAAGGCTCTTCTGAGGAAACCAGTACATGAAAACTTTCCTAAAAACTGTTAATATTAGATCAGCTTTTAAGAATTTGTTGTATGCTTTGACTAAATACCAGACACATGAGATCATAAGAGCCTTTAGTTTTAAACTGTATTCATTTCTTACATGAATAATCACTGAGAAAAGTTTTTCAGGAAGCCTGAGTTATGGGATTTCTTAACTCTATAATGCCAAAAATATTTATTACTAAAAAATAATGTTGCAAATGTAGCTCTGCTGTGGTTTGGCTTCGTGGACATATCTGGTGAACTGATAATTCACTGATGGCGTAAGTTAGGAAACTTTTAATGAAGTTTTTCTGGGATCAATTTTCAAGTCCATTACTCTGCAGCCTGGCAAAGTTCACTGCAGCAGATTTCCCAATGCCCAGAATGGGAAGTTGGATGGTGTTTGCAGAGAGCAGGAGCTGAACTCCTGTCCTGGAGAGGAAGAGGAGTTTGATTTACTGACAATTCACTCTGCTGATGTCACAGGACTTTCACTTCTGGTTTGGTAACTGCAGGGAGCTGACCTGGATTTTATGCTTCTATTAATATGCAGATGCACATGCAAAATGGGCTCTAAAAAAGGAAGTCTGGGTGATACATTGGTGGATAAAAGCTGCAAAGAGATGCTGGTTTGAAAAATCTGAGTGGGGCTGCTGTTGGCATCATAACATGTGTAGTGTGGTAGAAAATGTGTAGAAAATGCAGAGCWGGAGCTCAGCCTTGGCCACCTGTGAGTACTTCTGGATACAAATCCTCTCCCTTCAGCCATCTCTAAGCACTTGTGGATCCAAATCCTCTCCTTTCAGCCACCTGTGAGCACTTTTGGATCCAACTCCTCTCCCTTCTGAAGCCTGTTGGCTTTTCTGGAGTTGCAGCACAGTAACTCTGCACAGGAAAAGCTCCTTGAGCTTGTTGCTTTAGGTCAGGAGTAACAGCTGGCTGAAGAGTTATGGAGATTGTCCCAGTTTATAGGAAGTTTTTCAGATCCTCTGAATGCTGCTGGTGATGGAAATCTGCWTGTGGGAGGGTTTGGAGAACCTGGTTTGGAATCCAAAAGTTCCACTGCAGCACTCCAAAAAACTAAACTAAAAGAAAAGGGAAAACTTTCAATATACAGATGTTATAACTGTCATGAAAACAATGTTTTCCATGGAAATACCCAGAATTGGATGTACMCACCATAGCTGGGTGTATGAACAGTTCTATGCTGTGTGCAGTGCATTCACACATCCGTCGTGCTCCGGATGTGGGAGTGACTCTGTGYGTGTGTGGAGGAAGAGATTACACAGCTTGGTGCAAGCATTTCACAAGGGTTCTATATTAGGGAGGAGGATTTCCTAAAGGAGGACTTTATTGCTTGGAGCTTTAAGAGGAAATATCTGTGGCAGGAGATGCTGGGAGAGTCTAGCCCAGCAGTGTGTTTTTGCAAATAATTGCATTTTGCAGAGGTTTCCTTTTTTAGATGCTGCATGGTAGAAGGGTGACTAGTTTCCCTTGCCCTTGGAACACATAATTAAGAGTTGATAAAGACATTCCAAATAACTGATTCTACTGGATTTTAATAGGTTTTCTTTGTGGTTCTTGAGCATGGCTCATGCAGAGGATTTTGTGTTATGTGTGTATTAGCAGCTGTCAGAGGACTCATGATCTGATAGAGGAATTAGAGATGCACAATTAGGGTTTGTCCCATATGTATTTCTTCTTTCCTAACACCTCATCATAAAACTCCATTTTTCAGTGTTRTGTGGCAGAGTAACTGCCCCATGATTGTTCTGTAAACTGAAGTTTTTCTGTTTGTCTTTCTCCTGCTTTTTGAATACACAACTTTTAAAATTCCTTTATGCATGAGATATTGATGTACTRTCTCACTTGAAGAAAAGTTGTGTGTTTAATGTGATTTTTTTCAGTGGCAGAAGTATGTTGGGGAGTAGGATGTGATTTGTGACTTTTGTGTGGGAAAGGTGATTTTGTGGAGGTTGTGCTGCCTTCATCCTGAATGYCTTCTTCTCTAATGTGTTAATTGTTATGGCTTGAGGCTGATTTGCACTCTCTAGCCATGGTTACCTATCCTGTACTCCTAAAAATATCTAAAAGTATTATTCCCTTTCCTCAGTCCCTCAAGTATTATTGCATGGGTCAAATAATAAACATATGTAGTTCTGTGAGGGACATGGGGGCTTCCTACACTGCCTTTTTGGTGTTTGTGTSCTGCAATTTCCACAGTATTTGGGGTTTATTCTGGAATCTAACGGGAATCTGAACAATGAACAGAAAAGCTTGGAAAGCTGTGTGGTGAYGAGTTTAGTGTAATTGAAAATTAACTCCTTTTGATTTATTGCAGGCATTTGGAAATGCTAAAACAGCACATAACAATAACTCCAGTCGTTTTGGGAAGTTCATTCAAGTCAACTATTTAGAGAATGGTATTGTCCGGGGGTAAGTACGGGTTGAGCTGGGTCTGGGGGTGATCTCTGAGCTTTTAGGAACTGGGAAGCCACTGTTGTTTGTAAAATGCTGCCTTGTTGAAGCTCTGCTCACATGAGAGAATAGCTTGGTGMTGTGCAGGTTAAAATTCTGTAACTGAGCTTTGTGGAATTGTCAGGTGATGTAAAATACTCTGACTTTGCTCTACAGCTGGCTCAGGTTAAGAATCTGCTGCTGCATCTTTMCCTTTATGCTAATGAAGGCTTTTGGATAACACCCCCTGCCCTCTCCATTTAAAAACTGGCATTTAAAAACAATGAGTTTTTAAGAGGAATGAAGTGGAATAGGTTTGAGGAAGACATTTTGAAGAAACAGTTTAAACACCCGCTACAGAAATTAAGAAAGCTATAAAATTATTACTTTTGATTACTTAATCAAAATTATGTGCTTATATCTGAAGGACTTAAAACATGAGATATTTCATRCCTACATTTGCTAGTTCTGCTTTTATTATATATATAATGATAATAACTCTGACTGTGGAGTGTCATGAGCAATCCCTGACCTTTATGCTCCTGTGTTTCTTTTCTTTGGATCATCTTCTTATTTGCAATAACATTAATGAGTGGAAACTCTGTGCCACATTTGCTTGGAGTGTTATTCTGAATAAATTTGACATATTTTCAGACCAAGTCACACTAGCTCAGGAGATTGGCACAATTTGAATTTACTTGTTTTGTCTTCAGCGTGAGAGAATCTTTATATCACAATATAGGGCCTACTGAAATTCTTGGTTTAGGTTTAAGATAGTGACTTTAATAATCTCGTTATTTGAACTTTCTTGGCAGTTGCTGTCTGATGTTCTCTCAGGTCTTTTCTCTTTGCCCTCACACTTGTTCCATTTTCTGTGCCTCCTTAGGGCTGTGGTTGAAAAATATCTGCTTGAAAAGTCTCGTCTGGTTTCTCAAGAAAAAGATGAAAGGTAAGAGAGAAATGTGGTTTTCCAACAGAGTTAAAATCAATGGAAGAGTTTAAGAGCCTGTAAATTACATAGAATAAAAGAAAATCCACTGTATTTTCATGAGAGAAATGCCTTGACTTCRCAGGAACTACCACGTCTTTTATTATTTGCTACTCGGAGTCAATGAGGAAGAGCGTCAAGAATTTCACCTCAAACAACCTGAAGATTATTTCTACCTCAACCAGGTAATCTGGGATTTACCAATGCATTGACAAGGGTTGCTGGGTGTTGTGTCAAAGATGAAAGGCAGCAGAACAGATGATACTTGGCATTTTGTGATGTTTGGGTTTCACATTTGCCTCTGATTTTGCATTTCCCTTTGCAGCATAACTTGAAAATTGAAGATGGGGAAGATCTCAGACATGAATTCGAGAGATTAAARCAAGCCATGGAGATGGTTGGCTTCCTTTCAGCAACAAAGAAACAGTAAGTGGAATTCTTCAAGCTTTTGTTACTGGCATTTATTGCTGATGAGTTGCAATGAGCTTTGGGCTCACCCCTACTTCAGTAGGGAACAAAGTGAGCTGGGTGTTTGAGGGCTTGCAGAAATMATTCTCAAAAGTAGAATTAAGTTCTGCTAACCTGTTATAATGAGCTCTCTGAAGAAAAAATTCTTACATAATTCATTTTTTCTTCCTTAGGATWTTTTCAATACTTTCAGCTATTCTTTATTTGGGCAATGTCACGTACAAGAAGAAAGCCACAGGTCGAGATGAGGGGTTGGACGTGGGACCTCCTGAAGAGTTGGACATTCTTTCCCAGCTGTTGAAAGTAGAGTATTTCCCTTTAGCTTTAATGTTTGATACACCTATTTGTCCTGCTCTAGCTCAGCRTTTCACTTGGATATCCCAGCTGCTGTATCTAAATCTCCTTTATGTAACGTCCACAGTATTTATCTTATGGGAGGGGCAAACATGAAATTGGTGAGATTATTTGGGTTAAAGATGGAATATAACCCATGGAAGGGAAATAGAATTTGTTTAGTCTCCAGTCACAGGGCTGAGCAACAACAGATTCAGTGTAGGTGTGTTTTTTGCCACCACAGGGAAACATCTGCATGAATGTAAACAGAATAATTTAAACAAGTTATAGGACTTGTAAAACTACTGATGGATGATAAATGTTATCAAGGAGCTCGGGCTTCTCTGAGGAAGTTGTGTGTCCACTGCTGCAGTCAAATAACTCATTGAGGAGCCTGATGGTGACAGCAACTCTTGTTCCCTCTTGTTTTGAAGGTCAAACGAGAAATCTTGGTAGAAGTGCTAACAAAAAGAAAAACTGTGACTGCTAATGATAAGCTTATTTTGCCATATAGTCTCAATGAGGTGAGTAAAAGAGCACTTGTASAGTGATTTTAAATAACTGAAACTTGCTTTTCTGGATTAAAATAGCTATTATGTTACTTTTCCATTTTGTGAGGGATAGTTGGAAAGTTAGAAGTCTGCATTAAAGGCAAATTGTGGTTTTATTTATCTCTGCTTGGGTTGTAAGCTGCAAGTGACACTGGATTGAAATGGAAATTACATTTTTTTTAAATCAAGTTCTGAACATTGTTTGATCTGCAGGCAATAACAGCTCGTGATTCCATGGCAAAGTCCTTGTACAGTGCTCTGTTTGATTGGATTGTTCTGCGAATCAATCATGCACTCCTCAACAAGAAGGACATGGAGGAATCTGTTACAGTAAGTCTCTCACAAAAACAAGCCTTTGCAGGCAGATGTGTATTCAAACCTAACAGAGGATGTGTTGTGGTATCTGGGATAAATTTTGTTATTTCTCAAGCCCATGGTAAATTTCCTGGTAATATTTAATTATCTCTGTTTTCACAGTAGACAGAATGATTAAATATTTAAAATATTTATGCAGTGCTTTCTGTACTGTTCACCTGTATGACTTAAGGCTCTATATGACAGATTGGTAACTGGATTTCTACATCTTCTTTCAGTGTCTGTCCATTGGTGTACTTGATATTTTTGGATTTGAAGATTTTGAAACCAACAGTTTCGAGCAGTTCTGTATAAATTATGCAAATGAGCAACTTCAGTATTATTTCAATCAGCACATTTTCAAATTGGAGCAGGTAAGAAATGAAAGTCACTGAAGTAAAACCTGTTTTCGTCAAGTGCTTATGAATTATGTAAACTTAGCCTCTTCTCTGCAAAACTCCATGGCATAATTGCATGAGTATTTCTGAAAATCTTGCTTTTTAATTTCTTCTTTAATTATTGCTTCTTATTGTACTAATGGTAGTGGGGYCTTTCTTCAGAGGGCTGGCACTGTAATTCTGCTTGACTGCAAAAAATGCAAGACAGCATTCAGGTGATCCCAGACAGAAGTCAGCTAAAACTGTGAACTTTGGCATTGAAAGTTTGTAGGTGAGGGGTTGGATTCAGRTGTTTTTGTTCTCATGGTTGGAAAACAGCTTCTCTCATTTTTATCAGTCTGTAAGTATTTAATAACCAGTCTTTACTGGTTATTTACTGGCTTCTCCCACCCGACTGCTTTTAGGGGAACAACTGTATTTTGCTACCAGCAGTAGTTCTGAAATCCTGCTATTACTGGCCTGTGTTGATTTGCTTGTTTGCAGATGGTATCACCTGACAGAGCACTCTGAGTGCTGCAGTTTCTGGACTGGGCTTTGCAGGGGGTTTGCTCTAGACTTGGATTTTTTCTGCTCTGTGCAGAAGTCTGGGCACTCTGTTGAAAGAAGTTGTTCTGTAGTATGTGGTATTTCATCAACAACTTTAGGCAAGCATTTTAAGAAAATAAAATCACCAAACATCCAAACTTTGTGTGTAAACAAAATGTTRAGGTCCCTGTTTTATAACTTATGACAGAGTTGGCCATCCAGGCTGGCCAGAGTAAATAGTTACATTGTCTTCTTTTTTTTTCCTTATGCCATTTTTCCAAATAAGCTTAATCCTTGAATGACCCATTTCCTGTATCTCTTGCAGCCTGAGGGCCCTCAGGGGGATCTCTATATCTTTTTAAAGAAAGGCTTTTTTGTCTGTGGAAAATGGCATTTCAGTTGTGTARCACGGTGTGCACTGAGCAGTCTGTGTTGGGCAGACTGAATTCTACCTACTTAAAAATAAAGCATTTATCATCATCATCTAGAGCACTGAGAGGGACCCTTTGTCCTTTGTTAAATGTAAAACTAATTTAATTTTCTGTATGATTCRTTTTATTTTACTTTAATACCTTATCATTAGCTTGTTTCCTGTGGGTATTTACAGCAGTAAGAAAATCTGGTATTTTAGTTATGTGTCTTAGTGAGAAGCTTGTCCTGTCCATGATTGTCACTTCAGCACAAGAGCTTCATGTTCTGTTGTCAGAGAGCTCTGGATTTTCTGAGCCTGAGCAGTATCCATTGCTTCCTTGGGGAAGAGCTGATCCTGATGTTTTGTAGGCCTAAACTGCCTGATTAGAAACTTCTGTTATTTCTTCTGACAGTGCAATTTGAAAATTCTGGAACTTGGTATTAATTTCAATTTGTTTCCCTTAATACAAGACTTATGGAAGAGAAAAATAGACTTAAACTCCTCTATGTCTGCTCAGTTTTACTGGAGTGCTGGAGATGTAATGTCTAACTCCAGGGTCGTAGGCTGCTGATTGCTGGGAAGGCAGAACACAGCAGAACATTCCTTTCACAGCTTTGCTTTTGAAATAGTTTTTCCCCAAACATGCCCTGCTGAGTGRACCTTTGATCTGTGCAACTATCTCTGTTCTTCTGTTCTTATTTATAAATCTTCCTTGTTTTTGCCTCTGCTGCCTGAACTAACAAACTGCACTTGCTGTAGCTGTTCAAGGCTRTGTTTTAAGCACTTAGACCACAGCACATCAAAGGTCAGGGCATTGTACTGATAAGGGAATTTTCTTGAGCTACACAGGAGGAGTATAAGAGTGAAGGGATCACTTGGCACAATATTGACTATACTGATAATGTGGCCTGCATTCACTTAATCAGCAAGAAGCCCACTGGCCTCTTCTATCTTCTGGATGAAGAAAGCAAGTAAGCAACAAACATCTTCTGGAAAAACATGTGTGGCAGGGAGGAGGGAAGGACTGTGGAAGGGAACAGAAATACAGCACTTGAAAAAGGAGAGGAATGTTGTGGGAATCAAAGGGTCATTTATGACTATGATTTACACCGTAGTTTGCTTCTGATGGCTCCAGTATGGTGGTGATATAAATTGATGCTAAAATTGAACTTTGGCTTAAGCAAACTTAGAAACTTCCATGTTTGTGGCTCACCATGGAATTACARTTAAACTAAAATGCATGTCTGTAAGTCTGAAACATTAAATAGCAAATGTGATAGATAGTTAATGTGGTTCTGACTAAGTGAAGTAGGAGGAAACATTGATGTACACATGAAACCTCAGAATATTCTGCTGTGTGTTGAGCTGCTTGGTTTGGATCACAAATTGAGCCCACCTTTAATATTCAAAAMAGAGATCTTGGCCAGTTAATACTTTCCAAAGGATCAATAGGTCTTCACTCTGTCCCCCTAATAAACCTGTATTTGAGAAACARCTGACCTTTTTTGTCTTGTATTCCCAGTTTCCCACATGCCACCAACCAAACTCTACTGGCAAAATTCAAACAGCAGCATGAGGAGAACAAGTTTTTTGTYGGAACCCCAGTGATGGAGCCTGCTTTTATTATTCGACACTTTGCTGGCAAAGTGAAATACCAGATCAAAGTAGGTGACAGATCTGCTGGGCACAAAAAAAAAATTTCTTGCCTTTCTGTGGGTTTTTTATCAGGGTGTAGAAAATTTGCTGGGAATGGGTTGGGTGAGAAATGTTCTCAGAGGTACTTGGGGTTTGTTTTCTGGGTGGTGGTGTTGGCTGGAGGGTAATACTGAATAAACAAAACACAGGGAGCCTTCCCAAGAGCTGTCAGCTCAGCATTGCCTGTTCTGTGCAGGATTTCAGGGAGAAAAACATGGATTACATGAGGCCTGACATCGTGGCTCTGCTGCGCAGCAGCGACAGCGCGTTCGTGCGGGAGCTGATCGGGATGGACCCGGTGGCCGTGTTCCGCTGGGCCGTGCTGCGCGCGGCCATCCGCGCCATGGCCGTGTTCGCCGAGG